AAAAAAAAAAAAAAAGCACTTTTTTGTTTTTTGGTGCAGGTCCTGAGGCGGCTTGAACTCAAGGGCTGGGCGCTGTCCCTGAGCGTTTTCGCTCAAGGCTCAGGCTCTACCACTTGAACCACAGCTCCACTTCCGACTTTTTTTTTTGTTTATTGTAGATAAAGGTGTTTTTTTTTCTTTTCTGCACGGGCTGGCTTCGAACCTTGATCTTTAGATAGCAGTTTGGAGTAGCTCAGATTACTGGAGGAAGCCACTGATGCCCAGCTCCCCCACACCCCCCGACCTTTTATTGTGGGGTGGTAGATAACTTACATTTTATGTCCCTGTTGCTTGCCTGCTTTTGTCTTTGGAGAAACCTTTTCGCTGCCAGGCTTTGTGTGTTTAACTATGAACGACCTATTCAGATCATTTTCGGGCTGAGGATTGAAGCTAGGGCCTCATGAATACTATGCGTGCATGCCTTTTTCATGGAGTCTGTACACTCCCGGCATGGTAGACTTGCAAAAAGTAAATTAACACGTAACGAAGCAATAAAACAAGCAATAAGAAAAACAACGGGAAGTAGTGATTCCTAGGAGCATGTGTCTGTTTCAAATAGATACAAACTAGGAACAAAGATTTATTTCTCAGGGGACACATTAGGTCACAGAGATATCTTCATTTGTAGGTTGGCTCTCTTCACTTTCCTAAAACATTATTTTCTGTAGCCCCATTGTATAAGCAGTGTTCTCAGACTTTGAAGTTGTATTCAGGCCTGATAGTCTTTCAGAAGATGAGGCCATAAAAATCTCAGTATCAGATTGTCTCTGGAGAAGGAGAGAGACCTATTTGAAAAACAATAAATGGCTCTCCCACTCAAGGTGAGCTCTCTATCTCTCCTCTCTTCTCCCTCCATCCTTCCTCCCCTCTCCCCCTCACCAATTCTGGGGCTTGAACTCAGGGCCTGGCCACTGTCCCTGAGCTTCTTTTGCTCAAGGCTAGCACTCTAACTCTTGAACCACAGTGCCACTTCCAACTTTTTCTGTGTATGTGGTACTGAGGAATTGAATCCAGGGCTTCATGTGTGCTAGGCAAGTACTCGACCACTAAGCTATGTTCCCAGCCTCCTTTGGCTTTTTCAGTGAAGGCTGGCACTCTACCACTTGAGTGACATCACTTTTTGGTGGCTAATTGGAGATCAGAGCTTCAGACTTTTTTTTTTTCGAGGTCCAGTTGTGGGGCCTGCACTCTGGGCCTGGGCGCTGTCCCTCAGCTCTTCAGCTCAAAGCTAGCACTCTACCACTATGAGCCACAGCGCCACTTCTGGCTTTTTTCTTATGTGGTACTGAGGAATCGAACCCAGGGCCTCATGCATGCAAGGCAAACGCTCTACCACTGAGCCACCTTCCCAGCCCGAGCTTCAGACTTTTTGACTTGTGCTGGCTTTGAACTGAGATACTTAGATCTCACCCTTCTGAGTAGCTAGGATTACAATGAGTGCCAGGCAAGAGAGAGTTTATTGTGACTATATGTGATTGCAATACAATGTTACTATTTTTATTTATTTATTGTGGGGGGGTTTGAACTCATGTCCTGTGCATCTTAGGCAAGCTTACTTTATCACTGAGCCAATATATTCAGTCCTTTCTGAAATAATTTGAGCTTCTTGTTGAACACAGGACAAAAGCATGTCCTCCCTCCCTGGGTGCATTGGTTTGGGTGCAGCAAGAGCTGCAATGGAGTCTGAAGAGATTGCAGAGCTGCAGCAGACAGTGGTTCAGGAGCTGGGTATCTCTATGGAGGAACTTCGGCAGTTCATTGATGAAGAACTTGAAAAGATGGACTGTGTACAGCAACGCAAGAAGCAGCTAGCAGAGTTGGAGACATGGGTAATACAGAAAGAAACTGAAGTCGCTCATGTGGACCAGCTCTTTGATGATGCATCAAGGTAATGGGAAATAATGAAATATGTTGGTTGGCACATATTTTCAGAGTATAATTATTCATGATATATACCAAGTACTTTATACTTCGTGAAGTACAGTTGTGTGGAACCTTATTCTTCCTCAGTTTAAAGTCCAAAATTTGACCTCACAATTATATGTATGTGTGTATTGTATATGTACTGCACACATATATGTATACATATATGTGCATATTATTATACATAGAAACCTATTAAGTTTTTTAGCTTTCTGAAACTAAATTATCAATAATAAGGAAATACAAGTCTTTTTGTTGTTGATGTTGCTGGTACTAGGGCTTGAATGTGGGGCCTGGGCTCTGTCCCTTAGCTTTTTCCCTCAAGGATTATGCTCTACCACTTTAGCCATAGCTCTACTTCCAGATTCTTTTTTGCTAGATATTGAAAGATAAGCGTCCCAGACTTTTCCTGCTTGAGCTAGCTTCAAACTGCAATCCTCAGATCTCAGATTCCTGGGTCTTGAACTCCGGGCCTGGGCACTGTCCCTCAGCTCTTCAGCTCAAGGCAAGCACTCTATCACTTTGAGCCACAGCGCCACTTCCTACACCCTTTGTTGACTTTGATTTTTTCAAAATGTGTTCTACTCTCAGGGCAGTGACTAATTGTGAATCTTTGGTGAAGGACTTTTACTCTAATCTGGGACTTGAATACCATGACAGTAGCTCTGAGGATGAATCTTCCCAGCCCACAGAAATAATTGAGATTCCTGATGAAGATGATGATGTCTTAAGTATTGATTCAGGTAAGAGATGAGGCTTTGGATAAGAATGAAGAATGGGGAAACCAGGCCAGGAGTTGGTGGCCCATACCTGTAATCCTAGCTATATAGGAAGCTAAGATCTCCAGGTTACCCTTTGAAGCCAGCTGAGGCAGCAAAGTTCATAAGACTTATCTCCAATTATCAAGTATAAAGACATAAATGGAGGTGTGTCTCAAGTGGTAGTGTGCCAGCCTTGAGCTAAAAAGCAAAGTGAGAGCATAGTTTCTGCATTTAAGCCCCATTACTGGCACAAAAATAAATAATAAGTAAAAGCAAAAGCTCAAGCCAAGTGTCATGGCTCATACCTGTAATCCTAGCTACTCAAGAAGATCACAGTTCAAAGCCAGCCCAGGCAGGAAAGTCTGTGAGACTCTTTATCTCCAATTATCCCGAAGAAAACGAAGTAGTAGAGCACTAGCCTTGAGTATAAAGAGCTGAGGGACAACCCAGGCTTCCGTGGTTCATGCCTGTAATCCTAGCTACTCAGGAGGCTGAGATCTGAGGTTCAAAGCCACCCCTGGCTGGAAACTGTCAGACTCTTATCTCCTGTAAACTACTCAGAAAACCTGAAGTGGTTCTGTGGCTCAAGTGATAGAGTGCTTGCCTTGAGCTGAAAAGCTGAGGGATAATGCCCAGGCCCAGAGTTCAAGCCCCAGGACCGACAAAAAAAAAAAGAGCTCAGGGACAGGCTGGGAATGTGACTTGGTAGTAGAGTGCTTGCATAGCATGTATGAAGCCCTGGGTTCAGTTCCTCATTACCACATAAACAGAAAAAGCCAGAAGTGGTGCTGTGGCTCAAGTTGTAGATTGCTAGCCTTGAGCAAAAAAAGCTCAGGGACAGTGCCCAGGCCTGGAGTTCAAGCCTCAGGACTGGCAAAACAAAAAACTCAGTGAGGCCCCATCTTCAAACCCCATGACTGACCAAAAAGAAGGTATAGAGCATAGCTCAAGTCATAAGAGCACATGCTTGAGCGTTAGAGAAGCCCTGGGACAAATTTCATGTATATATGTATATAACATACACTTAGGCACTTATATATACACGTATATATGTCTGTATACATATATACATATAATATGCATGTACATATGTTCATTTCAGTGTTATTCATAATATCCAAAAAAGCCCCAAATATCCATTAACTATGAATAGGTAAGCAAAGTATGGTATATCCATACAATGGATTATTATTAGCCATAAAAAACAGTGAAGTGAGCTGGGAATATAGCTTAGTGGTAGAGTGCTTGCCTAGCATGAATGAAGCCCTGGGTTCTATTCCTCAGCAACACATGAACAGAAAAAACTGGAAGTGGTGCTGTGGCTCAAGTGGTAGAGCTGCAACCTTGAGCAGAGAGAGTTGTAAGGGATAGCATCCAGGCCCCGAGTTCAGTCCCCAGTTCTATAACATACATGCACACACAAAAGCAATAATGTACTGATATGTTCAACATAAATGAACCTTGTGTGGATTGCATAGTATATGATTTTATTTATATGAAATGTCTAGAATATGCAATTTCATAGGGATAGACAATAGATTTCTATGTGCCAGGATTGGGCAAAAAGTTTCTTTTTGGGGCAATGAAAATATTCTCAGTAGATAGGGATAATGGTTTCATAATAGTGAATGAACTTAAAAGTCACTGAACTATATTTATCTTGAAAAGGTAAATTTTTATGAAAAGCAAATTATAATACCTCAGCTTGTTAATTAAATGAAATTCAGAATTGATTTCCTCAGTTATATTAACCACATTTCATGTTAGTGGAATGTGTAGGATTGATATATAGGATATTTCTTTTTTTTCCTATTCTTAAATTTATATTTTAAGAATAACACATTTTATTTATTTTATTTTATTTGTGAACATACTGTACAGAGGGGTTACAATTACATGGGCAGGATAATGCATACATTTCTTACCAAGCATTGCAGCCTCTTTTCGAAAAGAGCATTTTACAACTTTTTTACACT